TATTCTCATGAACTTGTTCCCATGGCTTGGCATAACTCCTTATGGTCCTTCTACTTTCAAATCTAGAGCCTCTTCCTCTAGAAGGCCTTTCTGTGCAACTCACAGATTCTGTTCTCTGCGGTTATCTATGTCATACCATTTATTAGGCTGTCTATGGCAGCTTTGGGTTTTAGTTGGCTTAGGTTTCTGATGTTCTGGTTCTTCCTCAAGACTCTCTTAGAAAGGGAATTGTATTTTTTCCCTCTCAGTACTCAAAAATTATGACAGAAAATGGCCAGTATTAACCCAAGTAAGTAAACAAGTATTTAAAAAAAATATTTCCCTGATCTGGCTCGCAAGAGGTCCACAGGTATTACAGTCCTGCCTGGTCTGGTCTACCCCGTTCTCAACTCATGCTCTCCAGTGGGTGAGGTGTTCCAACAGAAGGGCCCTCCACTTTCCCCTTCCAGCTTTACCCACTCCCTCCCTGGTTCCTACTAGCGGTATGTCCCAGTCTGGCATGGCCTCATCTCGGCATTAGCCCAGCCCACCCCCAATTCCAGCTGGTGTGGGTTACAATCTAGCCCAGCCCAGCGTGTACCCTATCCCAGTTGTAATATGTACTGATATGTGTTGCGACCATACCTGGCCCAGCCCGCACTGTTCTGGTGTTCGGATTCGTCAGTGGCTGATATGAACTGGTTAAGCCTGGTCCGCCCCTGACCTGTGCCAAATGTATGCCGGTGGGTACCTTTCCCTGGTCTGGTCTTGTCTGGGCTGTTGCTTATTGTGCTTCTTGTGCTTACCTGCAGGGACTGTGTCCTGAGAGGAGTTGCCCAGGCTCCTGTATCAGAGCCTCTCCCAGGGCCCGGTGCAATAGTGTAGAGTTAAAGTCATTGCCTTGAATGCACTGGGATCCCATATGGGCACAGGTTCTTATCCCGCCAGCCCTGCTTCCCATCTAGCTCCATACCTGTGGTCTGGGAAAGCAGTTGAGGACGACCCAAAACTTTGGGACCCTGCACCCACGCAGGAAGAAGCTCCTGGCTTCAGATTGGCTCATCTCCAGCCATTGTGGCCGCTAAGAATGATCCATAAGAAGTGAAGAGTGATCCATAAGAAAGAAGATCTTCCTCTCTGTCTCTTCTCTTCTCTGTATATCTGCCTTTCCAATGAACATAAAAAAAAAATTTTTTTTTTTAAAAAAAGGACCTCTCCCAATGCCAGATTTCACGCATATCAGTGGGTCCATGAGCCAGCCCTACTAAGTCCACTTCCTTACCTAGCAGGAACAGTGGCCTTTCCTGACTGGGCTTCAACCCATTCTGGTTCTTACTGTTGGATGTTTCAGCCCAGCCACAGCTTGTCCATTCCAAACACAGCTCGCACATGGCTCAGTAGAGGCAGAGACCTAGCCTAGTTCATCCTACATCTACCATGGTCCTCTAGAGCACAAGATGGTGCTGGAGTGTAGCCCGGCTTGGTGCATCCAGTCCCAGTCCACACTTGTGCAGACCAGAATGCAGCCGTCACTCCATCCCCTGCGCTTCTTGGTGGGAACCCCAACCCAGCTAAAGTGTCCCCTTAGCTCCCCAACCGGGGTGGTTCCCAGTCATAGATCATGCATGCGCCAGTGGTTACTCTGATTCAGCTTGGCATAGCCCCTCACCTGTCTTGGCCTTTGCCTTTAGATGCTGTGGCCTAGCGTCCCTAGCTCATGCAGACCAATAGGTGTAAGAGCCTAGCTCAGCATGACTTGTGCTTCATCCTGATTTCTGATTTTGCTTGTGAGCTAAGGTTTGCTCGGCCCTGCCTGGTCCACCCTGTTCCATTACTAACCCACACATTAGCCAGTCATTGGAGCTGCTCTCCTCCAGGTTCAGTTTAGGTCCTAAACTGAGTACAGATACCACTTGTGAAGTCCCTCTGAATTTCTCATCTTGACTCTCAACAAGTATTGTCTTGATTGAAAAGATAATCTTTCTCTGAATGCATGTCTCATTTTTTTTTTAAGATTTATTTTCACTGGAAAGGCATATTTATAGAGAGGAGAGAAATATCTGTCTGCTGGTTCACTCCATAAGTGGCCACAACAGCTGGGGCTGAGCGAGTCCAAAGTCGGGAACCAAGACCTTCTTCTAGGTGCCCCATATGGGGGCAGGGTCCAAGGCTTTGGGCCATTCTCTACTGCTTTCCCAGGTCACAAGCCTGGAGCTGGCTGGGGAATAGAGCAGCAGGTACACAAATTGGCACCCGTATGGGATTTTGGCACATGCAAGGCAAGGATTTAGCCATTGAGCTACCATGTCTGGTCCTGCATGCCTCATTTCTTAGCCTAGATTCTACCTCCTTTGGTTGGAGTCCACAAAGTTTAGCCATGGGCCTTTCTTGTGCAACAACTTTAACAGATGTGTTGTTTATATTTTTTGAGTAGCAATCATCTTGTTTTGTTCAGGACTGAGGGGGTCTCAGGACAGGTAACTCTCAGTGCCTAGACCTGGATGATAACTAGCAAACTGGCATGAACTGGTCATCCTGTCAATTCCCCTGACAGTTTTGGATGTCAGGGGAATTGCCTGTGTGTGAGTCCAGTCTACATGGTATTACCCCTGGTGTGCACTTCCTGCCTGGTTTCCATAGTTGAACTCGAATTTGTTGGAGCCTTCACCATTGATGGGGGCTCCAAGCAAGCAGATTTTTTTTTCTCTTTCATTGCTGTCCAAGAACCTGCAGCAGGTGAGGCACATTGTAAGAGGTTAATGAACATGCTTTGAATGAACAGAGAACATTGTACACCACTGTAGCTCCTGATAATCTCATATCCCTTCAATACAGTAGGACTTGATACTTTAACATAGTTTTTAAAATTACAAATGACTCCATCATTTATTGCATAGCTTATAGCCTTACTAGGTTGATTGCAAGGGCCAGCTTTTATTGATCTTGCCATTTTTGGTAGTGAGTTCACCAACATCAGACTTTGTATTTTATAAGTTTAGAATATATCAGTACTATTTGGTTGTGCAGAACCTTGGTTTGGAGTCTTATTGGAACATGTGTTTAAAGAAACAGACTATGGACAATCAAAAGCTTTGGAAGTATTTTTGAGAGTTTCCCAGTGACTTGGAAAGAACATTCTCTGATGCACTCTTGATATCATTCATGGAATATGATTTTGATATTGTATTGTTTCATGAGTCATTGTGCCCCATAAACAACTATGGACTAAACCATGAGTATAGTGAGCTTACGTAAGTTTGTGGGCTAAAGAAGCCAAATGATAAGAAAACAAACTGATCCAAGGGATTGGCAGTGATGAGGTCTTGGAGGCCAAATCATTGTCTCCTCAGCATCTGCACATTTAGGAAGCAGGGCATGGTGTCCATACTCAGCCTGCCTCGGGAAAAACCCAGCTCGGTATTGACACAGCAGATTCCTTGGAGATGATTTTTTAGTGGCAAAAGCTGTGTTTAGGATCTAGCTATCTTAGTTATTCAAAACAACCAACAGAAAATACACATTTGACAAAGCTAGTATGCATGTAAAATGATCATCTTCATGGGTTTCAAATGTTTTCTTTTATGCATCACATTTAAAACAAAGGCCACCTGTAAAGAAGGCTGTGCACAAATATATATTTATTTTTTATTGGAAAGACAGGTCAAACATATGGATAGAAGAGGAGAGAAAGATCTTTCATCCACTGGTTCACTCCCCAAATGGCTGCAACTGCTGGAGCTGAGTGGATCTGAAGCCAGGAGCCAGCAGCCTCTTCAAGGTCTCCCACACAGGTGCAGGGTCTCAAAGCCTGTGATCTGCTCCCAGCAGCATCGCAGCAAAGGGGGACAGGCTGCTCGCATCGCGTAAGGTTTATTAAGGAGCATGATGCATGAAACACAAGACACTGAGCTCAGTTCTTGCCCTTCGGATATTAAAAACCTAGCACCTCCATGGAAGGGATCCTAGGCAGAGTAAACGGGAAGCCGCCAAGCCACTAGCCACTCTGGAGCAAATCTGCGCTCGATGCGCTGGGGTGGTCCAAGGCCTCCGCTGGGGACACTAAGCTGGGAGTAGCTTGTAGCTTGTTGCGGGGCGCTGACTTGCAGGAATCTGAAGTAGTAGACAGCCCAAAGCATCCTGTCACACCCGAGCTCCACACCCTCTCGCCAGGGGCCACCCCAGATTCCAGCGCCTCGCTCCCAGGGGTCGTGCTCACTACCTCGTCGTCCCCGGGGATCCTGTACTCGCCAGTCACACCGTTCGCCCCCGCACCGCCCCATGGCAGTGACGTCACACCTGCCGCTCCAGGGCAGCCCTCCAACTCCCCACCGTGTCCTCATCGGCCAGCAGAGAGGACAGCGCACAGCGCAGGGCTGGCTACTCTGCGCGCAGAACTACCCCTTGTAGTTTTCTGGTTTTCTCCTAGGTCGTCAGGAGAGCAATTATAGCTTGGAACTGCCGCGCAGGCGTGCGAAAAGTGTCCCACCCCCGGCTTCGCTCCCCAAAACTGTGACGCAGATGGTACCCCCGCGAGCCGCCTTCACTTCCGATTGGCCCTGATGGAAGGCCGTCACGCGGCCACGCCCTATCTCCCCTTCTCACCTCCCAGCTCCGGACACTTGATAGACCGACCCAGGAGGCCACGCCTCGCACGGGTCCTGCCGCTTCACGCTGCGATTGGCTGAGGAGCCCAGCATGCCTTCCCGCCCCCTGGCCCCTCCGGAGCATCCCGAGGCTGGCGGGCTTCCACGGAAGTTGTCAGTCAAACTCCTCCCTCCACGCCCTGCAGGAGGCCCCTCCCCAGGCCGCGCGCCCCAAGCGCGCGCGCGCACCCACGGCACACACTCCCCCCCCCAACCCCTCGCCGGCTTCTCCCGTTTGCTTGTACCAACCACCTTCTCAAGTTGTAGCGGCCGCTCGCCGGGGGTTCTCCGTGGGCGGCCGACGGGCGCGAGGCGGACGGAGTCCGGAGCTCTCGGCGCGGCGGGGAGCCGGTGCGAGCCGAGGGCCCGGGCGGCCGGTCACCGCCCCGGGCGGCGAGAGGCTGGCGCTGGCCGGGGAGAGCTGGCACCGCGGCTGCGGTTCCGAGGGGGCACCGTGACGGCAGCAGCGCCCCGGGAGAACGCTGCGAGAGGGAAGGACTGAGAGCGGCCCGCTGAGGGGCCGGCCGGCTGGGCGAGCGAGACTGCAGGGACCGCCGGGCGTGTTGGGCGTCCGCACCGTGCGCCCTCACCTCAGTTGTCTAAACTTCAGGCTCCCTTCCACCCGCCCTCCGCGCCCGGAGTCAACAACTTCTTCACCCCCCTCCGCCCCCGCCCTTCCCTCCGTCAGCCCGGGAGCTCGCCCGCGCGGCGGGGACCAGGAACCTCCGGGTGCTGAGATGTGGCCGTGAGGCGTTGGCGGGCGGCGAGGAGAAGCTCGGCGGCGCCCGGGAGCCGGACGGCGGTTTGGTCGGGGGGTCCGGGGCTCAGGGCCGCGAGCTCTCCCCGCCTGCTGCTGCTGCTGCTGCTGCCGCCGCTGCTGCTCCTCCTCCTGCTGCCGTCGTCCCCGCTGCCCGCGCGCTGCAAGCAGCCACCGGAGCTGCCAAGCGCCAAGGCCGCGGAGATGTCGTCGTCGCCGCCGTCTCCTCCGGCGGCGGGGGCTGCCAGCGCCGCCATCTCGGCCTCGGAGAAAGTAGACGGCTTCACCCGGAAATCGGTGCGCAAAGCACAGAAGCAGAAGCGCTCCCAGGGCTCGTCGCAGTTCCGCAGCCAGGGCAGTCAGCCGGAGCTTTCCCCCTTGCCCCAGCTCAAAGGTAAGCTCCGCCGAGGGCGCAGCCAAGGCGGCGGCAGCAGCGAGCGCGGGGGCTGCCTGGCTCCGCTCGCCCCGGCGCCGGCTGTGCCATTTCCTTGCTTGGGGTTCGCGGAGTACCGGGGTGCCCCCGCCGTCCGGATAGGTTGGATGCTGGGACTCTTGCTTCTCACTTCTCCGGCTTTCACCTTAACTCTTTCCCATCTCAGGGGAGGCCAGCACCCTCCCCACCTGCGCGCTGGCTTAACCTGCGCTTCCGATTGGGACCTGCGCCTCGCCTCTCGCTCACGCCAGTCCTTTACAGATCTTGCCTTAGAGCCCTGCCTTTGTTGCCTGGTCTTCTTCACTTTCCCGAATCTCAGCCCCCTCTCTTGGGCCGCTCTTCGTCGTCCTTTACTTTATACTGTTAGCAAACCGATTGCACCCACACGGGCCTCCACTCCCCGTCCCATTGATTGTATCTGGAATCCTGATTGTCAACAGCGATTGAAAGTTAGATGGCCTTCACGTGTGTGGAATATCTCGCAGGGAAAAGGCTCACCCTCGGGCCAGCGTAGCGTCTTCTTGATTGGTTCGTTGGCTTAGGAGACCCCTTAGTTGAAGGCGGCACTTAGGGTCGGGTTGGGGGAAGGGGAGTGTGGTGTGGCTTTGCGATGCAGTGGGAACTTGGTTCGCCTGGCAGCGACGCAGAGACTTTGTGGGTTTGTACAGTCATTCAAGTTGCTGTCCGTGCCTAATGCCTTGCAGAAGTAGTTGGCACTCCTTTTGGCGCACACACTTGTCCCACTGGAGTGAGAGGTTTTTCAATAAGTTTCTCTAGGGTTCTCGCCTATTCATTGTGAATTGCTAACTTTGAATTATACAACTGAAATGCCGGCTCCCTGTGAGGTAGAATTAACTACGGAACCAGGTGACCATGCCCTTAGATGTTTAAAAAGTGTTTGCAACAAAAACCTCAAGGAACTCAGAGCGTAGTTTGTGCAAGGCGAGAGAATGAAAGGTTCATAGTAAAATAGATAAATGTTCTGATTTTTCAGTCCATTTGGAAAAAAAAAAAAAAAAAAACCACACTTTCCTCCAAGGTTAGACTGATTCCGATTTGTTTTGGGGCCCGTGAGCCCAGCCTTAGCTTGGCAGGGAGTTTAAAGAAAACCCCAGATAGGATGACAGGTGACTTCAGATGGCTCTGGAACCCCGTTCAGTCCACGTGCCGCGCTGCCTCTTGGGGTGCATATGAACCAAGGACATCCGCCTGCCAAGTTCAGACTGGCTTTTGAAAAGAGATTTTACCATGTCTTCAGTTGGTGCTCTGGCGTGTCACTTGACTGCCCTTTCGCATACAAAAATTTAAAATTGTACGTGAGGTAGTGTGAGGCGTTGCCAAGACTTTGTTAAAGGATATCCATCTTACCCATCAGAACATTGAATTGCTGTTCATAGATTTTAAATTTTATACTTAATTAAAACATCATGATTGCTTTTATGCTGATTTTTTGAAGTTGTTTTTGTATAATCAAGATTTAGTGTTAACGTTTTTCTTTCATTTAATTTGCTTTTCAGTAAAGTATTTTGGTTACTTAATATTATGCTCATGAATATATTCGGTTTAAAAAGAATAGCGTTAAACATATGGTTTGTTTTAACTAGAAGATGTAGGTCTAATACGCTTTGCTTTTAAAAACCTGGCAGATAAATGCATAGACTCAGTAATCATCTAGGTTAAGTGGTTCTGGTTCAACAAATTGAAGGTGTTATGAGTGTTTTGTTTATGGTATTTGGTTAGCATTAGAAAAAAATAAAGTTGGAAATTTAAATTAATTCTGGGTATTTACATTAAAAAGCTATCGTAAGGAAAATTATGATTGCAAGCTAAATTTAAGCAAATATTATGGGAAAAAGCAAGATGCTTACTTGGGTTAACTGGCTAAAAGGAAAAACTACTTTTGCTCCAGATGCCAGTATACTTGAAAAGTTATTCTCAAAAAAAAAAAAAAAAGTCAGTTGGTTGAGTTAGTACTCTGGGCATTGTACTTGCTGTGGCAGCATTGTGTATTTTTTCTGTCACTGGTAGTTCTTCCCATTTGTGGCCTTAACCAAAAAGACAAAATAAGCAAACAAGTGAAAAAACCGAACTAGTGGAAAGCCCTGTGTGCATGAAAGAGACTTTTTCTTGCTGCTCTGAAATAGGATCTTCCTGTGGAGTGATTCAGATATCTGGGGGCATCCAAGATCTGCAAGTGTTTATGCCAGCCTGCTGTGTTACACTTTGTCCACATGGCTCTCACCTGGAAAACTGCCAACTAGTTTTCCGCAAAGCATACTGTGAGTGAGGATTAACAAAATAATTTGACCTTTTCCTCTGTAAGAAGTTTATTTGTGTAAAATCATTTAGTAAGTTAGTTCTAGGATTTTAATGACAAGCATGTTTGCAATAAATCCTTATTGTAGAGAGTATTTAATAAACAAACTTTAATTTTTTTAAATGAAAAACTGTCCTGAAAATTGTGAAGCTTAAAAAATTTTTTTCAAAACACATTAAAATCTATTCTGTAAACTCCTTTGAGAACTAGCTAGAAATTGAAGTTAGGAGCATTTTACCAATATTTTTTCTCATATTTGAAATGTATGTTAGGGAAGTGAGAGGTGCGTCTTAGCTGTTAAGATGCCCACGTTCCACATGGAAATTCTTGGATTCCGCTCCTGGCAGTGCTCCTGGTCTTGGCTTCCCAGCAGCACAGACCTGGGAGGCAGCAGTGATGGCTAATTGAGTTCTTTCCACCGGTGTGTGCGATTGTCCTGGCCGCCTGCCTGGTCTAGCGGAGTTGTTTGATCTGGGTGGTGAGCCCGCAGTTGGGGCCTTACTCTGTAACCACAACAACAACAAGTTGTGTTAGCATGCGACCTAATTTTTCCACCTTAAGCTTTTCATTTCCTAACCAGCAATTAGGAAATGTTTAACTTTTTAAAAATCTGCTGTTCACAGTAGAAAGCTTCTTCAGTCTTTTGAACCTGTTTGTCTTCAGAAGGATTGGTTTGGTAAAATACCTGATGACTTATGTTTGTTTTGCATTTTTAAATCATTTTATCTTCCTGTACATTATTAAACAATATTTTTCATAATAAATGGAACAGCCTGAAGATGTGCAGCCCTCCGTCCCTGTTCTCTCCTTTTTCACACCTTGTGAAGTGTCATATGACAAGCCCTGGGTCAGTGTAGTTTTACTAATATTTCTTTTTAAATCTTTTAGGGGAGATTTTTACAATTTGAGAAGCAGAGAAAAGAGAAAGCTGCCATCTTGTGGTTTGCTCTCCGAGTGCTCATGACACCTGGGCTGGGCCAGGCCTCACCAGGCCGAGGGCTGGGGACTCAACCAGGTCTTCCATGTCAGTGGCTGGGACCCAGCTGCTGGAGCCACCACCTGCTGCCCACAGGACGTGTGTTAGCAGGAGATCTGGAGACTCGATCCAGTTCGCCCAGGTGTGTGGCAGGAACTCAGCTACTTGAGCCGTGAACCTGCTGCCTTCCAAGGTCCTCCTTGGCTGGAACCAGGAGTGGAGTTGGGACTCAAACCCAGGCCTTGAGAGGCACAACTTGGGTCTTTGTTGTTACGCCAAATATCTATCCTCAAATACTAGGCTTCATTAGGTTATCTCAGCAATTTGGCAAGACCATTATCAGTCACATTTTATTGGTGAGGCTTAGTCTTGTTCCAGGCCTGTGATTATTTGTTTGGATGGTGTCACAGCTGACACTGGGGCCCCGGGTCAGTTATTTCAGGTCGTTGTCTATACCTGCAATGGCATGATATACTACGTAGCAGAATGTTGAACTTGTGGTCCTAGCTGAAGAACTTTACTATCCTTATAACATGGGGTGAGACTGCAGGAGGGAATGCAGGTCTAGATCCTGTGCCTGTGGAACTCTATCTTGAAAAATAATAATAAAATTAAAACATGATTTCATGTTTTTTCAATTATTTATTTTATGTAAATTTGAAGTAGGATGATAGATAGGTTTGATTCACTGGGGTTAGTCCTGGGTAAAAGGTAAATTTTTTCTTTGGAAGATTTATTTATTGCAAAGTCAGATATATATATATATATATATATATATATATATACACACACACACACACAGAAATACCTTCCATCCAGTGATTCACTCCCCAAGTGACCGCAAAGGCCAGTGCTGCACTGATCCGAAGCCAGGAGCCTGGAACTTCCTCTAGGTCTCCCACATGGGTGCAGAGTCCCAAGGATTTGGGCCGTCCTCGACTGCTTTCCCAGGCCACAAGCAGGGAGCTGGATGGGAAGTGGGGCTGCCGGGATTAGAACTGGCAACCATTTGGGATCCCAGTGCATTCAAGGTGCGGACCTTAGCTGCTAGGCCATGGCGCCAGGCCCCAAAAACAAATAAATTTCTAATCTGAGTAATTTTCCTTATCTGTAAAATGGTAGCGACAATGCCCTCTGCCTCCCCAGGGTTTTGAGAATTAATTGAAATAATGTAAGTGCCTAAAAACTGGCACAGACTAGTAGTTCCCATCCTTGTTTTCCCAACTTCGTATATTAAAATCCGGAATAATTTTTAAAACGAAGGATTTGAAGGATTATTCATAGTGTTGCTCAAATAGTAAATTAGTAAAGTATTATTTATAATCAGTTTTTAAAGGTGATTTACATGAAGTGTGAAGCTACGGCATTTTTTAGTGTGAATATAAAAGTGGAAATACAGTAAAGTTAGACTCTTTAAAAATAATAAAAATTGTGATAGTAATTTTTTTCACCCAGCAAAGGGATTGAATTGCTGAGTCTGCGTAGCTGTGTGTTTGTTAGGACACCCCCAGCAAATAGGACGGAACAGACTGGAACCTGCTCTCGAGGCCCCTTAGCCTAGGTGAAGAGCGTCCCCTCAGCTCACATGCCTTACGGGTCACTCTGAGGAACTGGTCCCCTGGAAGCGCTGTGGTCAGCCAGCCATGGGGGTTGGCTGATGCCGTGCTT